GATGTTTCTCTGACTTCTTTCTCAGCCCTTTTATCATTTGTGTATAGGAGGGCTACTGATTTTTTTGAGTTGATCTTGTATCCTGCCACTTTACTGAAGGAGTTAATAAGCTGTAGGAGTTCCCTGGTAGAGTTTTTGGGCTCACTTATGTATACTATCATATCATCTGCAAATAGTGATAGAGTTGTTTGTGTGTATGAATGTGCAAACTTGAGTTTATGTGCAACTCTTGCAGTACCTGCAGAGGCCAGAGGGGGCATCAGTTCGTCCACACACACACTCTCTCTACCGGCTCCCTGTGTGTGCAGTACTCACAGAAGCTGGAAGAGGAGTCACAGGTGGTTGTGATCCCCCTGTAGGTGTCAGAAACAGAACCCAGGTCCACTGCAGGGGCAGCTGGTGCGCTAACTGCTGAGCCGCCTACAACTCCTGAGCCTCCTGCCTCCACTCCCCCAGCGCTGGGATGACAGGCATGCTCCCCTGTGCGTGTGCCAGGCCAGGGCTCTACCAAATGGGCCCAAAAATGCATCGGGGGATTCTGAGCATAGGATCTCCTTGTTGGCAAACATGCTCACAGGGCTGTATTTCCCGTCGATCTTATTATTATTGTATATTTGAGATCTCTAAATGTTCATTTCTTGTGCGTGCTCACGTGTGCCTGCTGCAGGCCTCCTGTGGAGGTCAGCAGACCAGGAGCCCACCTCTCCTTCCTCCAGGTGGATCTGGGGGCCCGACTCAGCGTCCCAGGCATGGCAGCAGGCACCTTTACCAGCTCCTTCATCACTTGTTCTGAGCCAGGGTCATCCTGGTCTCCCTAACTTCCCACCCGAGCCTTCCAGCCCCCGGCACCCATGAATCCACTTCCCATCTCTGGACATTTCCTGCCATGGAGTCCACACTGTGTGGCCCTCTTGCTGAACACAGTGTCCTTGGGGGTCCCTCTGTTTGACAACCTGGCTTTTTTCACTGCTGTGTTGTGTTCCACTGCATGAATGGGGCTTGCTCCCTTCTCCGGGGGGTGGACACTAGGTGGTGAATGAAGGGGGCCTCCATGTTCGCGTTAGGAAGCGGTGGGTGGGTGGCTCGGCTCTTCTGTGTTTCCGTCTCTGAACAGCAGCTAAGCTATGGATTTCACAACCTGCCCAGCCAGGAGGATGGCCCGACTTCCCCCAGAGCCTCGCTGCCTGCCGTGGGGTTCATCTTGTTTTCCAAGAGCAGTCAGGCACCAGAATCCCAGACTGTGATTGCACAGACCCTTTGCACAGACCCTTCCCCCTTTGCCCACTGAGCTCAGCCCCTCAGCTCGCCCTCTGTTGTCTTTTCTAACTTTTCAAGATTTCTATTTGTTTAGTGTGTGTCGTGTCATTTAGCCAGGGGAGCTACAGGGGTGCGCGCGCGCGTGTGTGTGTGTGTGTGTGTGTGTGTGTGTGTGTGTGTGTGTGTATACACGCGCGCACAGTCAGAAAGTTACAACTTGCAAGCAGGTCTGTCCTCCCACCAAGTGGACTCCGGGTATTGAACTCGGGCCCTTTGCCTGGCTGCAATCACTCTGCCCTGTGAGCCGTCCCACATCCCAGGGATTTTTGAAGCGGGGCCTTCTTGGGTTTTGTTTCCAGCGCTCGTCCTTAGGGTTGCCGGGAGGACTCAGAAGGCGCACGATGGAATTATTTCTGGGGCTGGGGTAGGGAGTTGTCGCATGCCTGTCATCCTCGGGAGCCGAGGCTGGAGGATTGCTTCCAGTTCGAGGCCAGCGGGCTAGACAGTGAGATGGCTCCAAAAATCAAAACCACGGGCAAATGCAGCGCGTGCACCGCGGCGTCCGCGGGTGAATCGAGTCCCGGGGTGCCGCGTCCCCGCTTCTCCCCGAGCAGGAGCCACGCCTTCCGCGGCGCCGAGTCATCCGCGTTGTTTTCCCCACTCCGCACTCCCCCAGTCTTCCTGGGCCGCGCTGCCGACCGCCGTTGCCCCGGGCAACGCGTGCCGCCTCGCTTCCTGTATTGATTTGAATCCTGAAGGACGTCCCATACTCCCGAGCTGCCCCGCGCCGCCTCGCGCAGGCGCAGTTGCTCGCGGTGGGCGCGAGCCCGGTGCGGAGTGGGCGTGACCCGAGGGCGTGGCTTCCAGACGCAGTGTGGTGGCGGCCCCGGGGGCGTGGCCCAGGAGGGGCGTCGGGTAACGGGTAGGGGGCGTGGCTTCAGTTGAGGGCACAGGGGATTGGCGGGTGCCCGGTGCGAGGGGCCGCGAGGGGCGTGGTCGAGGGCGTGGCCTCCCCATGGAAGCCCCCGGAGGCGTTAGGGGGAGGGCCGAGGGGGCGTGGCCCGGCGGGGCTA